CTCAGCAAAAGGGGGACCACCGAGCCCCAGCTGGGCTCCTCTGTCCCCTTCCCAGTCCGTCACGTCCTTGGTCACACATTGCACTTGACTTCATAGTAGGTCTTCCAAAATCTCAGGGGTTCACATGTATTATGACAGTGGTTGACAGATTTTCTAAGGCGTGTCATTTGGTGCCTCTTAAAGGTCTCCCTTCTTCGACCGTTACTGCCAAGCTCCTCGTGAAGCATGTTTTTAGACTGCATGGTGTTCCCACAGAGATTCTATCAGACCGGGGTCCCCAATTTGTGGCTCGGGTCTGGAAGAAGTTTGCAGGGGCTCTGGGCGCCAGGGTCGCCCTCACCTCCGGTCACCATCCTCAGACCAATGGGCAGTGTGAGCGTATGAATCAGGAACTGGGTGCCATGCTGCGTTGTGTCTGCTCCTCCCAGCCTACCGCCTGGAGCACACATCTAGCATGGATTGAGTATGCTCACAACTGTCATGTATCCACCTCCACAGGTCAGTCACCGTTCAAAGCGTCACTTGGTTACCAACCCTCACTGTTTCCACAGCAGGCCTCGGCTTCAGTCTCCATCCCGCAGTTTCTCAGGGGGGCCAGACAGGCATGGGTCGTTACCTGGGCGGCTTTGGAGCGTACTGCTGCCAAGAAGCTGGCAGATCGACACCGGCGTCCCGCCCCGCTGTACTCTCCTGGACAGGACGTTTGGCTGTCTTCCCGGGACATCCCGCTCAAGGCCTCTACTAGGAAGCTCACTCCCAGGTACATCGGTCCCTTCAAGATCCTGGATACGCCCACTCCCTCCACGGTCAGGCTGGACCTCCCCAGGAACATGAAGGTACACCCTGTTTTTCACATCTCCTTGGTCAAGCCCGTTGGATCCAGTCCTCTGTGCCCCACTCCTGCACCTCCGCCGCCGGCCCGGCTCTACAAGGGTGGGCTGGTCTACACCGTCCGGAGGATCCTCGACTCCCGACCCCGCGGTCGTGGAGTCCAGTACCTGGTCGACTGGGAGGGGTATGGCCCGGAGGAGCGCTTCTGGGTCCCGCGCTCCTTCATCGAGGACCCTGACCTCATCCGGGAGTATGAGGAGGCGGTTGCTAGGACGCTGGGTGGCGTCCGTTGAGGGGGACACTGTTGTGTGGTGGGGTGAGTACTCCTTCCATCTCTAGAACATATTTGAGTTCTTCATTTCAGGAGAGGGAGCTCACCAGCTGCGGGGTATCAATAATCAGTGACAGCTGCAGCTCCTCAGGTCATCCGCAGCAGAGCTCTATTTAAGAGGAGAGGGAACCACTACACAGCGCTGGATGATTAGCTACTCACGGTAGTATCTGGCCTCTCGTTCTAGGATGCTTGGTTTCTACGATGATAATTGGCTGATACAGTTCTTGGAAATTTCTTGGATTATTCTTGGACTCTTGTGTTGGATTTTTTGGACTCAAATTTGTATTTTCTCTCCAGGATTTTTGGACAATCTTCCCTGACGCTCTGGGTTTGTTGGATCTGATCCTCCATCCGAGAAGCGGAACCAGTACAGGATTACTCACCTGGAAAGAACCATAACCTACCTGGACTTCACGGTTCGCCTCTCCTCTTATCCTCTGCCACCCCGCCTGGCTCCCTCTCCTCGACTCACCCCTTCACTTCATCTGCCCTCCTCGACCTCCTCCACCTGCAAGATTTTGGACTCTCTCTGGCTCCAGCTAATCTGGGTTTATTCCAGGGACACTTTTCGTTGGATTCCTGTAATAAATCATTGTTTTGAACTTTCCACCCTCTCTTGTGATGATTCTTCATGTCGTGGGTTAAACACATTCCCAGGAACATGACACCTGGAGGCCACGCAAGAAACTCCAGAGCTCCCTGCTGCAGTCCTCCCTCCCCCACCTCCAGCTCTAAGGTGAGGCATCAGACATTAAGGGTTCCCTCTCATGCTGCTTTGTTTTCTCTCTCTAGTCCTGGCAGGCAGCTCTGACTGCAGAACAGCAGGACTGGATCGGCCAGGTGCTGTTCACCAGGGACCGTGCTGGGAGGCCGCGCCTCATCACAGAGCTCAAGTCCCTGGTGGTACCCTCCCCAGCCCTTGGCGGTCTACAATCAGCCTCCCGCCTCTCCCGACCCCTTCTTTGCATGTTGTGGGCAGATCGCACCACCTCCCCAGATGCCCCCTGTGCCCTCACCCGTCTGGCTGCTGACCGTTTACGGTTACGACGTGCTGATGCGGCTGGACGAGTACAAGGCCAGGATCACGTCCATCCTAAAGATGGATTCCACAAAGAAGGTCGGTCACCGCGTTGTGTGTACTTGCTGCTTGTGAACAACAGTTCTGCTGGTCTTTACACAGGAAGTTCACTGTGTGCAGGTGATGAAGAAGCTCGCAGGTGCCGCCTCTGGCACGGCCGCCTGGGCTACCAACGAGCAAGGCCAGGTCCTCATGAGCGTCCTCACTTGCTGCGAGGGCTCCAAGGGCCTGTCCAAGATGGCGGCTGGACTGATGAGGTGGTACCGATTAGCCGAGGTACCTGCCCCCCCAGCTCATCTACGTGGACCGCGACTGCTGCAAACAGGACGGCGTGTCCAAGACGGCTGCCTTATTTCTGGTATAAACTTAAATCATTGCTGACTGACTTATTTAGTTGTTTATTTAATTTTTCATAGCAATGATTCATCATTTTGTTGTGAATTACTTTAGTTGATCAAGAGGTCACCTGAATTTCTACCCAATAAAAATTTTCTAAGAATGATTAGATTTGTTTTAAAAATGTAAATTCTCTGTAGTTTTCCCTGCTGCATTTCTTTAAACTGAACAGAACCAGTGTACTGCAGGTTATATGTTTTGTTTTACGTTTTAAAAACAAAAAAACATTTTTTAATCTATTACAGGTCAGCATGCACTGTGCTGCACATCTGCCTCTGTGCTGGTGAAGTTGTGGGTCTGGAGGATGAGCCTGAGGAAGATGTGTGTGGAGGAGGTCAGTGGTGCTCTGTCCTGCAGGAGGTACCAGCAGACCACCACTACTGTTAACAGGCAAGTCATTCACAGAGATGTAACAGCCGTCGTCTGAGCCAGCCCAGCAGTAGATGGACGATGGAGTGGACAGTGAGAGCAAGCGTCCCAAAGCTCTCTATGCAGACCGTCCTGTATGATGTTCTTCTGGCCAGAAACGTCCAGCCACGGGTCTGCTCCAGCCCTCCATCCACGTCTGGATCCTCCTGCAGCAGATCCAGCTGCACTGTTAAAGACTTCCTGCTCACTCAGTTTAAATAAATGATCCAGGAAGAGTCACTCAGGTTAATCCTGCTTTAACCGTACATAACTGGTTCATATTGGTTTTAATCTGTAAATAATTGTAACGTATTATAAATAATCTTGTCTCCTTACCATCTTTTCATTTTCTGTTCTTGTAACACGTTCAAAAACATCTGTTATAATAAAATTGGTGATGAAATCAATGACCAGAAAGAGTTATCAGTATTTGTTTTAATAAATGTGTTCAAATATCAAACAGCTAAATAACATTAACATGTCATCTCCCAGGATGACCAACAGGTAAAGCCTCTCCTGACCCTGGACACCTGCAGTCCTACAGAGAATATCAGAGACCACAGGTGACAAAAAGGCAATAAACACATTTTTACTTCATTAAAACGTGTCAGCTGTAAATCCCTGAATGTAAAACTACTTTTCACAAAAGAACTTATGTGGTTGTGTGTGTAAACAGCTTCACTCTTCACCTCTAAGCTTAATTAAAAACACTTCTTTGCTCCGTTGTCCTTAAAACAAATGACAAGTTTAATTTGCTACACACACACCCACACCCACAGGAATAACTGAGACCTGCGAAACAAACTCGTTCTGGCTGATTTCTGTGCATGTGTGGGTTCACTCTGGTTTCCTCCTGCAGACCAAAAACATGCATGTTGGCTTTATTAAAGGTCATCATGTGTGTGTCTGATGACTGGAGACCCGTCCAGAGACGTGTCCTCCACCTCATGTCTACTGGAGTTGTATATATGTCGATGAGTTGGACGCCAGCTCCTGACCCTGATGAGGAATAGAGATGAGTTAATAATGATAATTCATAAGACTTATACAGCGCTTTATAGCTCCTGATGTGTTGAGGGAGCTCCAGATGGTTGGGGCGACGGCAACAAAGGCTCGATCTCTCGGGGCGCTGTGTTGAGTTCTGACGGGGGAAAGAAGATTGGTCACAATAGTTTGTGATGTCATTTTCACTGATCATCCAAGGAGAGGTTCTCCTATTGTCATTGTTTTACAGAAAACGGATGATAAAAGCATTCCAAAACTTTCTTCTGCTTTTTCCTGCAGGTGACCCCCCACCCCCCTATGCCCATGACATGTGGGCATAAACATCTGAACTCCTGCTTTTAAAAAATCTGACAGTAAAGATGGCAGAATGATGACAAAACACCTAGTCAAAAAAATATCCACCAGCTGATAACTTCGACTTCATGCTGGCACAAAACCCAGTGACAGGCTTTTTATGAGCAGCAGCTTCCTGTCTGGACGTCCGGGCTCTTCTACGCTTTTATGTTTATGTATTTAGCAGACGCTTTTGTCCAAAGCGACTTACAAGTGATAATCGGCATGTTGCCCTTGAGGCTAACAACAACAATAACAACAACTTGACATCAATCATGGAGAGGAGGAAACAAAGGAGTGGACGGTAGAGAGGGGGGACGGGTGCAGGCTGGGTGCTATTAAGAAGATGCTCTCTGAAGAGCAGGGTCTTCAGGAGTTTCTTGAAAATTGAAAGAAGAGCAGACCGTGCTTTTAGAGCAGCACGGTCTGCTCTTCCTACCTCCACGGGAACACACGGTTCTGAAACCTTTTGTCTTCCCACCTACAAAGAAGACAAACGTCAAAGACCACAGAAATGGCTGGTTGAACAGAATTTTCTCACTTAATTTTCTTTTAATTGATGTAAAATAGGTTTATATCAAGGTTTTGTCAATTTCAGCCATGACCCAAAGATAGAAGAGTCGCTCTGTTGCTGATTTCCTGCATCTTTCTGCATTTGCTGCCACCTGCTGGTTGATTCTCCATCCTGCACGGTCCTTAACTCACGCCAACTCTCTGGTTTTGACCCATTAACGAATAAATGAAGTTTAAAAGGCTAACCCAGAAAAAGCAGCAGGTGTGGAATTTCCATGTTTCCATGGTTACAGCTCAGCATTTAGATTTCTGCAGTAAAATAACAACTTTCCCTCAAAGCTTCAAGCAGCAGGAAAAGTTTGATCTGGAGAATTATTGGATCTGTGCTCTGGATTCATTGATTGAGCGTTGAGAGTGGCTGGGAACCCACCAAACATCAGACAAGTAAGATTTAAGCTTTGTGTTTTCGTGTTTTGCAGGACAGAATATGCTATCACCGTTTAAAGAGTGCTCAAATCACCCCTAAATCAACTTTTTTTTCTGATAAACTATATAAATGCGTGTCTAATCGTGCTGCAGACACGTGAAGTCAATAGTTTAGTACTTTAGTGCATTTTAGTTAAAAATTTAATTTTCTACCTAAAACTGTCAGTGTTGTGCCGTTGTCAGGTAAAAACTGCACTATATTTGAATTTAAATCTGCCATCGCTATTGGCTAAGAGGTAGATCGTTAGCTGGTACCATATGATGTCACAATGTCGTTGTGAGCCTGTGTGTGTGTGTGTGTGTGTGTGTGTGTGTGTGTGTGTGTGTGTGTGTGTATTTGTCAGCGGCTCTGCCCTCTCAATCTGCTAGGCAACAGCATTTGTTGCATTTTTCAAACAGGAAGTGGGAGTGGAGTAATACTCTGGTAAGGGGTGACTTGCTCTTTAACTTAGGATCAGCTGAATGGGCGCTCTTTTAGGGGTAAAATAAACCTGCAGGAATAAAACCTTGAAAATTTCACATATAAAAACTCAGGTAAATGTTTTGATCTGAAATACAAACATGCATTTTTTTAAACTATGTGTTGATATCTGTCACATCTTATTTTTATTTCTGCACCATTTTGTCACAGATTTAAATAAAAATGGAATAAATGATTACTTTAAAACAATTAAGTGAAGAAACTTGTTTACATTTGAAATAGATCACATGTTTATTGAGCTCCTGATGAAAAACAAAGGCGAACTGTAGCTCATGTGGGAAATAAAAGTGAAGGGTGATTTCTACACGTGTGCTTTTATAAAGTAGATCCAGTTCCTGATGGTCAGATTTGATCTAAAACATCTAGACGATGTTTTTGCACGAGTCTGGATGATAAAAAGAACCTCAGAAGGATCTAAAAAACAATAAAGTTTCCCTTCGCTCACCTGAAACCCACTGAAACTAAAACAAGTTGAAATCAAAGTAAATTCACAACTCTTGACTCGGGGAGGTGAAATCAGAACCACAGAAACTGGTCTTGAGGTGAAATGGTGACTCAGCTGCTGTGATGAACACGGATCTGAGAGCAGGAGCTGATCAGAGATCGGTTTGTAACCATTAATCTGACCTTTCGGTTTCTTTTCTCTGATGATGATGTCAGAACTTCGGCTTCATCCAGAAGATCACTCAGCTTCTCCTGAAGATGGACGCCTCCTCTTCCTCCTCCTCCTCCTCCCCCTCCTCCTCCCACATGCACCTTCCAGACGACTCTGAGACGATGGAGGACTTAGAGCAGGATGTGTTCTTCTCCGTCCTGGAGGGGATCACCCAGGAAGACCTGGACTTTTCTGTTCCTCCTCTCACACCTTCTCCTCCTCCTCCCATTGTTTCTCCTCCCACACTTTATGCTCCTCCTCCCATTTTTCTTCCTCCTACATATTCTCCTCCTCCTCCTCCTTCTCCTCCCATTTTTCCTCCTCCTACAACTTCTTCTCCTCCTCCCACACTTTATCCTCCTCCTCCCATTTTTCTGCCTCCTCCACATTCCTCTCCACCACCTCCTATTGTTCCTCCCCCTGCACCTTCTCCCTCCCATTCTCCTCCTACACCTTATCCCCCTCCTCCTCCTCCTCCTCCCATTGTTCCTCCTTCTCCTCCTCCCATTGCTCCTCCTCCCATTGCTCCTCCTCCTTCTCCCATTTTTCCTTCTCCTACACCTTGTCCTCCTCCCATTGTTCCTCCTCCCACACCTCCTCCTCCTCCCATTGTTCCTCCTCCTTCTCCCATTTTTCCTTCTCCTTCACCTTGTCCTCCTCCCACTGTTCCTCCTCCCACATCTCCTCCTCCCATTGTTCCTCCTCCCACACCTCATCCGCCTCCCATTGTTCCTCCTCCTCCTCAGGGACAGGTGAGACACTGGGACATCTTCGTGGTTTTACATTAAAGCCGTTGCTGGAGGCTCTCGAGTCTTTTAGTCAAAAACTAAAAGCCAAATTTAGACAGAAGAGTTTAAAACATCAAAGCAGAGGAGGAATGAAGCTGGTTGGTTTCTAAAACATTGGAGAAACAAAAAAAATCATCGAGTGTTTTTATTCTCCTGATGCAACAACGAGGGATGTTTTAACCTTCACTCGGTTAAGTTTTATAAATTCTTAATTGAACAAAAATGTCCTTTGGGAATGTAACCTGAAGCTCCTCGGCTGGCAGCAGCAACATTATTCCCAGATCACTTCCTCAGTCTGGAATAATTCTGCAGCTTTTTCAATTGAGATTTTAAATTTTAATTCTAAAATGAACCTTGTTTTGTTTAATCAAAAGTAAAATGACAGCAGGTTAAAGAGGTTTTAACTGATTTACTTAAAGGTGAATCCTGTCCCCTGGTGGACAGGTGGTGCCACAGCAGGTTATTGTCTCACACCTGTTTTGTGTTTTTTGTTCTCAGATGTCCAACACACCAGCGGTAACGCTGTCTGGAGCCATTATAATTCAGCCTGTAGGGATCCTGTCAGTGAAACACATCATTATGAACACAAAGTCTTTGTTTGGATGTTCTCACCTGTTGTGTCTGTTCTCTGTGCAGAGATGGAGAGGTCCTCCATAGACTCGTCTTATACGTGCCACAAAGTCCACCAAATACCTAAATAAAACCTTTAAATCCTTTAGTTTTCTCTTGTTATTATAGTTTCTAATAAAGGTTATTCAAACAAAAAGCTAGCACAGAGCTAACAGACAGCTATCAAAAAGCTAGCACAGAGCTAAAGCTGGCACAGAGCTAACAGAAAGCTAGCACAGACCTAACAGACAACTAATAACAAGCTAGCACAGAGCTAACAGAAAGCTGATTTAGAGCTAACAGACAGCTAACAAAAAGCTAGCACAGAGCTAACTGACAGCTAACAGAAAGCTAGCACAGAGCTAACAGACTGCTAACAGAAAGCTAGCACAGAACAAACAGAGCTAACAGAGAGATAATGGCAGAGCTGCCAACTTTTGAACTTTTCCATGCACAACAAGAAGAAAGTAGAAGATTTTTGGTTTTTCTTTTGTGGATCCTGGAAGTAAAAGTAATGTCTTTGGAGGCAAAGCAAAGATCTAAAACCAGAGTGAGCATCAACGTGGCCTACGCCACTTTGAAGAAGCTAAAAGAGGCTCCAAAATCACAGACTGATGGTGACCTTGGCTTTGTTGCTACTGGACTTGTAAGTAATAATATTTTTTCCAACAGTGTCTTTTTACTTTGTGTTTTATGTTAGTATTAGTTGGCTCATGTTAATGTTAGCTCATTGTTAGCGCTAGCTACAGCAGGTCGCAGCTGTTGTAATTCCACTTTAACAACTAGTAAGGCAGCGGAGCAGTTACTTTAAAGGAGACATATTATGATGTTTTTCTTAAGTTGTATTCAATTCAATTCAATTCAATTTCATTTATATAGCGCCAAATCACGACAAGAGTGATCTCAAGGCACTTCACATAATAATCATTCCAATTCTGGTAAGTTCATTAAGCCAATCAGAAAAAATGTTTCCTATATAAGGAACCCAGCAAATTGCATCAAGTCACTAACTAGTGTCAGTGACTTTACAGCAGTCCTCATACTAAGCAAGCATATAGCGACAGTGGAGAGGAAAACTCCCTTTTAACAGGAAGAAACCACCAGAGGATCCTCGCTCAGTATAAGCAGCCATCCACCATGACTCACTGGGGATCGAGGACAGAGCAGACACACACACACACACACACACACACACACACACACACACACACACACACACACACACACATTGCATGCGCACGCACACACACGCACGCACACACACACATACAAAGACAAGTAATGTGTCTATAGTTATATTGTGATGTCTTAGTAAATATTCTATTTGGTGAAAGATAAACTATTGTATTTATCCTAGTGGATCTATAATTAAATGGATAAACTAGTATTAGCACATCCAATGTCAAGGAAAGCAAAAAGTTATTATCAGGAAAGGTATAATGTTTTAGTGGTTAGCAGCAGTGTGCTAGATGATGGCCCCCTCCATGAGGCCACCACAGCTCAGCAGAACATCGTTGTAGCTTCTTCTGGGGAGAAAAACACAGAGAAAATAAAGTTAACAGCTGAAATTGCAGAAAATAGTACAGTTAAAGGTTAGACTGTAGAAGAAAGCAGTAGAGTGTGAAAAGTGGTCAGTGTATCCTCCAGCAGTCTAAGCCTATAGCAGCATAACTACAGAGATAACTCTGGATAATCTATCCTTTTAGATGGAGGCATGTTGGAGGCAGGGCAAGGGAGAGCCGTCTTTACCGACTGTACACTCCACCTCCCTCTACTCCTCCACTTGTCCAGATTTAGGCTAACATCAGATTTTAACCATAGGCCCTATCAAATAAAAATGTTTTAAGCCTATTCTTAAAAGTAGACAAAGTGTCTGCCTCACGGACTAAGGCTGGGAGCTGGTTCCACAGGAGAGGAGCCTGATAACTAAAAGATCTGCCTCCCATCCTAATTTTAGATATTCTGGGAACCACCAGTAGACCTGCAGTCTGAGAGCGAAGTGCTCGGTTAGGAACATATGGAACAATCAGATCACTGATGTATGATGGAGCTTGATTATTAAGAGCTTTATATGCGAGAAGAAGGATCTTAAAATCTATTCTGAATTTAACAGGTAGCCAATGTAGGGAAGCTAAGACAGGAGAGATATGATCTCTCTTTTTAATTCTCATCAGAACTCTAGCTGCAGCATTTTGGACAAGCTGAAGATTTTTAACTACATTCTGTGGACTTCCTGAGAGTAATGAATTACAGTAATCCAGTCTTGATGTAATAAATGCATGAACTAGTTTTTCAGCATCACTCCTGGAAAGGATGCTTCTAATCTTAGCAATATTCCGAAGGTGGAAAAAGGAAATCCTACAAACCTGTTTAACCTGGGATTTGAATGACATGTCCTGGTCAAAGATAACACCAACATTCCTTACTTTGTTCTCGGAGATTAATGTAATGCCATTCAGGTCAAGTGATTGACTAAGCAATTTCCTTTTCTGATTTTCAGGTCCAAAGATGAGAACTTCCGTCTTATCTTGATTTAAAAGCAAAAAGTTTAGAGTCATCCACTTTTTTATGTCCTCCAGACAAGCCTGTAATCTACCTAACCGATTAGGTTCATCAGGGTTAATGGATAAATATAACTGAGTATCGTCAGCATAACAGTGAAAGTTTATCCCATGCTGTCTAATGATTTTACCAATTGGGAGCATATATATATAGTAAAAAGAACTGTTCCAAGCACTGAACCCTGTGGCAATCCACAAGTAACCCTGGAGTATGAAGAAGATTTGTCATGTACATATTAGTTCTATGGTTGATACAAAACATGTTATGACGTTGTTGGCACTAAAGACCTCTCACATAAAGTGATTCAGCAATTCTACTGTTGACATTTTCAATACCTTCCAGAATGAGCTGTTTCAGGGCTCTGTCACTTTAAGAAAACAAGTTGGAGCTGGCCACGCCCATCCGCATGGCAGCATAAAAGGATGTAAAAGGTGATTTTTGCATAAATTGTCTTCTCTAAAAGCTTTCTGAGCTTTTACTGAGTAAAGTCCTCAGACAGGAAGTGGCTTTACCCGCCAAAACAATAAGATGGAAGCATTTTTGTTTGCCTTTTATTGTTTGTTTATTGATGACTTCACTTCTGTTTCATTGTGTTTAAAGTGGTTTATGAATCCACTCAATCCTCCAAACCTCAGAGCAGAGGTCTCCATCAATCCTGCTACTCATGATTAGTTTTAGTTTAAACTGGTGAGCCATAACATTATGACCACTCACAGGTGAAGTAAATACCTGATGATTACACAGCAGATGCTGGAGGAACAAACATCTGGCTGCGGTGGGCCTTTAAGGAGCTCTGATCTGGGATGGCTCAACAGCTGGCATCTCCAAATCTGCAGCTTTTGTGGGACGTTCCTGGTCAGCAGTGATCAGAACCGACCACAGCTGGCTCCCGTCATGTCCTTTTATCCACGCTGATGATACAGTCCTCCTATCACTGCTGTCAGGCTCCTCACAACACCACGGACCTGCTCTTCAGGAGTTTGTAGAGTGGTGTGACAGCTCCAAACTTGAACTGAATGTGAGCAAAACCAAAGACATGGTGGTGACCTTCTGCAGGAGGCAGAGGGATCCGGCTGCTTCAGTAACCACCATTATCCATGGGAACCCAGTGGAGGTAGTGGAGGAGTACAAATATCTGGGAACCACCTTTGACAACCTCCTGAAATTCTCTGCTAACACAGAGGAGATTCTCAGGAAGTGCCACCAACGGCTATATCTCCAAGCTCAACTCCTTTGGAGTCAGCTCCTCAGTCATGATGACTTTTTACTGTGCCTTCCTGGAAAGCATCATGACCTTCTCCATCACTTGCTGGTTCTACTCCCTTAGCCTCCAGAACAGGAACAGACTGCAGCACACTGCATCAGTGTGCTCCAAAATCGTTGGCCTGCCTGTCAGAACTCTTGCTCAGGTTTTCTGTCAACAAGCCCTGAGACAGGCAGCCAAAATCCTCCACAACCCCTCTCACCAGCGTTGCCAGATCCAAAATCCCACAATATTGTACAAAGAGGCCTAAATTATCGTTTTTCAGTACAAATTATCGTACATTATAAATTTGATAATAACGTTCTATAAATGACTTCTCACTCCAATATAATATAACAAAGAAGGTGTTTTATATAACCTTACAGTTTCTCGCGAAAGTAGGCCCTATCGATGTGATTGGGCTATTTATTGTACAGATCCAGAGTCAGTTTTTGTAATAGACACAATAGCATAAACCTGTAAGCACTGAGGTGAAATCTGACTTCAGAACAGTTTAAAATTATGTAATTGACTTGGGAATGCCACAGCAAAAAACGGTGTTACTAGATGCAATGTGAAATTATCGTACATTTGAGGATTTTTGAAACTATTGATCGTACAGAGCCCAAAATTATGGTACAAATACGATAATTATCGTACATCTGGCAACACTGCCTCTCACATTGTTCACTCTGCATTTCAATGGCTCCCCTCTGGGCGACGCCTACACTGCATTTCCTGTAAGACTGAGGGGAGGAGAGCCACCTTTGTCCCCAAAACCATTCTGCTCTTTAACTCCAGCAGATAAGACCATCCCCCGATAAACCCTCTCCTTGGGCTCTCCATATATTTAACTTTTATACAGACGACACTTTAGTCACTTTATTCACTTACTCAGTGTTTTTTTGTGTGCATACTTTACTGTTTTATCCATCTTCTTGCTGCTTTATTACTTCCTTATTGCCTATTTATTCAATGTTTGTATGTCCAACATCATGCTGCTCTGCTGTTATTTTTTTAAATTGCCCCTCGGGGATAAATAAAGTTTTTCTGATTCTGAAACAGCTGTTTGAACCACTTTGAACTTGTTTCAGCAGAAAGAGTTCAGCCCATGTAACTCATCACTGACGTCGGAATCTGTTAAAAAATAAACACGTTTGATGAGTCTTAACTCTGAAAAGGGAGAGCTTCTGCATCCAGCTCTGCTCCTTCAGCACCACAAACCAGAGCAGCACCACCTCCGTTACTGCAGAAGATCCGATCTGTCGGTCCGGCTGCAGCTCCATCCTCACATCCATTATCGTGACAAGATGCTAGGATCCTTTAACTCCTCCTCCTGAGGTAAAAGGGTATTTATGGTGACTCAAAAAGACAGATGTTGGATTTCCAGTTTTTCTCAATAGGTGGGTTTCATGTGACGTAATCACCAGCGCGCGCAAATTCGTCGGAGGGCAGGAAGTGAAGTGGAATACAGCAATTCAGCAATCGCAACGGTAAAAATGCCTATGTTTGGTGTTGTTTATGGTTGCTCCAATCGCTCTAACCGAGAAAAAAATTAAATATTTTTTAGAGTACCGAAGGTTGTCGTTCACAGAGGCGACAAGTATAAAAAGCTTACAGAACAACGTCGGAAAAAATGGATTTTAAACCTACGCCTGCGGTCAGCAGGAGCAGAGTCTGAGAATGCCCGCGTCTGCGGTGACCACTTCCTCCAAGGTATATTAACAGCTAACGTTGTTTTATGGCGGTGTTTAAATACCGCAATGTTAGTTCTATTGTAGTGATTACTTGTAGTCTTAATATGAACATTATGCGACTTTTTAGGCCGCCCTAGCTCCATAGATGAGGTTGAGTCGGAAGACTGGGCTCCAACGGTCAACCTCGGTTACCAGAAGTCTAAGGCCAAGTCAGAAGCCTCTCTTCAACGGGATCAGAGGATGAAGCTAAAGGAAGACAAACAAAACGGTATGATTGTGCAGAAACTCTGTTGGATCTTCAGATACCAGACAAGCAGAGAGTTGAGAGCTCCGAACCAACGCTGACACCTGACCACCCACAGTCCGAGCGCATCGGTGTGATTGAGACGTTTAATGATGGAGGTACGTTTTTTTAATGTTTATACTGCAGATGTGGTTAAGAATCTAAAACAGCATACAAAATATAATGTAAACATAACCTGCAATGTAGTCACAGCTGCCCTGGGGCGCACTGACTGAGACAACAGACAACATCTTTATTTTTTAACATATTTCTGCAATACAGTTTCAGTAAATGATGTCAGGCGTACCCTAAATCTAGATACAAATACTGATTTCTTCCAATAATCTTATCAAAACATAGTAATGTCTTAACTTAATGCTTATACACATTTTAGATTACAGTTCTTTAGGTTAAAGTTGCTTTCTAGCACATAACTAAAATGATGCACCAGTTATTAACACGGCTTCTGATTTTCCCAGTCATTATTACAGAAATGAATCAAGTGCTGCTTAAAATAGGGACATCTAAAACAGGGAGGTGTACACATCTTGTAAAATTGTCCTTACACATTTTTACAAGATGAAACACTAAAACACTAAAATCCGTTGACTGAAGAAAGTTCTCAGTTGCTTGAACTCATTAAGCTAACTGTTGAGGCTGTTGTCAAAACCTTAAACCATTTCACACGGTTTAGCAAAACTCTAAACGCATTCTCGTTCTTAAAACACATTCTGCACTCTAGTGTATATGTCGTCCATAACGGTAAACACAAGTGGTACACATTTACCCATAACAAGATCACAAATGTCATTGATTGAACACAATCAGTCAAAATAGATTTCACTTGTTTCAAATGATGTGATGACCGATATAAGCAAGTTCAGAGAGCAAACAGGTTGTTGAAGGTGGGAATGAGAAAGTGTGACAATGGATAGAAGAATTAATGTGAGAGGACAAGGACGCGAGGTGGGGGGTGAGGAGGAGGGCAAGAAAGAGGAGGACGAAGAGGAAGAGTGGAAATATCCAATGAAATTAGAGGAACAACCATTGACCATGTTGTTGTCCATGGGCTGACAATGAGGGAAGCAGGACTTAGAGTGCAACCCAATTTGAGCCTCAGGAGGGAAAATATTGCATGTGATGTCGATGAAGTGCTGTGGCCTGACCCAGCCCACAGACAAGAAGAGGCCCATTGATGACATGTTTAGTCCTTTGATGTTTTTCATTTCATGTATTGTTGTTCTCCTTGAACACTGTAGCACAACGGACTGCAGGCTGTATATGGTACAATAAACAAATTGCATGGCCCTGAACATTGTGCTTTCTATTTTTGGTGTATTGTTTACTGACTGCTTGATGGTGTATGTAATTTTGAGTAATTTCTTTATGATTTGAGAGTAGTGTTTGATTTTGAGCACAGCTAAAACTGTTTTGAGGCGAAAGTTTGATTTTGCAAGTGGAATGAGAGGTTGTGTAAATCATGCTTGAAGCTGAGGTTTTGTGTTGAATGTTTTCAGAAAAGGGCAAGGCTTCAGGAATTGTGCGTTAGCAATTGAGAAAAACTGTAAACAGGTAAGCCACTGAGGAGAGGTGTTCTGCTAAAGTAGTGTAACGTGAGGAAATATGGGTTTTCTGTCACAATGGTGGTGTTGGACTCAGCTGGGTCATAGCTGGGTCGCTGAGAACTTTCACCCACAGATTAAGACCTGAACGCCAGCGAGTCTGGGAGGAAACCATAACATCTGCCACCTGCAGTCTACCAGAAGATGTGTTTACATGAGTTGTACCAGACCAAGTCAAAACATAAAGTTTAAACTTCTTTTTCGTGATTTTAATGTTAAAATAACCATTATCATTTTGCTCATTATAAATGTGTTTAATCAAATGAATGACTAGTATGCTTTGGGGTAATTATAATGGATTAATGAATCCACACTTAAGTAGATAATGTTGAATGTGTGGTACTGACCTTCACACTCAAGCACACAAACATTCACACACACCCACACACATCTGCCCACAGTAAACTCCAGACACATTTGATGACGCACATGTTTTGCTTTGAGAAGAGAGGTTTTTGGTAAGTTTTCAGTTTTATGATTCAGTTCGTGTTGGACAACGGGAAAGAACAGACCTGAAAACCAAAGGGGGGGCAGAGCCTGTTGGCTCGTTCTTCCCCCCTTTCACGCTGTTTCTGCCAAGCCAGGCAGAATAGCTGAATCGCGACTTCTAACGAAGACTCATTACCGAGTCTTTTGATTTCTGAGTGAATTAACTTAAGAAAGCGCATCGATAAAACGCTCTACCATCCACGTGTACCGAGGGCAACTCTGGACCGGTTCCGTTCGACACCTACGTCTCCTGTCAGCCGCCGGTGTCATCTGGATGAACCACAACATCCTCCACGGCCCGGATCCGAAAGAGGGTCCACAAGAGTTCGGTGAGACAGAGCACGGTTTTAGCGTTTGATGCAGTTCTCTGATAAGACCTAAGTTTATCCAAACCATCACTTCACTCAGACACCTGTTTCTTCCTGAAGCAAAATCAGACTCACACACGCATTCATGTCACAACATTCTCAATCTTCATAAATTCACCAGAAGGTCTATTTGAGCAAGAACAGCATATAAACTGTTAAAAGATTGTCCCACAAAGTTGCCAATGTGATTGTTATTTCCTGTTTGTCAATTTTCAAAATCATTAGTTTAACTTGAAGAATTAAAACTGTTAATCCTTCAAACTTGTTTCCTCATTGAACTGAAACACAGACACTCAGATATTATCGGCAGTTTATGGATGAAAACAACCTTTGAGTCTTCTGAACAATATAAAATTTGGTTATTGATTTATTAAAATTAATATTCCGAATTAATACGTAGCATGGTTTCTCTTTCATAAAAGAGCATAAATCCATAACGCTACAGTAGCATCCCTGCAGTTGGGTGACAGTACCAACGAGCACCAGTAGGTGGGGGTGTTGACCTTCATATGGACAGGTTTACATCCTAAAAATGTGACCTTTGCTGCACACTGAGCAAACAAAGCTGCTGTTTTAACTGTTCAGCTAACTTATTGTTAGTTTTCTCTAAATGAACGGATGTGAACGTTAAAGAGTTTGGAGGAGAAAATGTTTTCCTGAGATGCTGCAGATCCTAAATGTTCAGGATCCATGCTGCCTCCTCCAAATTCTCTCCTCTACTCTCCTCTACTCTACTCTACTCTACTCTACTCTACTCTACTCTACTCTACTCTACTCTACTCTCCCATTACGGATGTAATACTGTGCTAAAACCGTCCGTTATAACTCATCTCTCTCTCTCTCTCTCTCTCTCTCTCTCTCTCTCTCTCTCTCTCTCTCTCTCTCTCTCTCTCTCTCTCTCTCTCTCTCTCTCTCTCTCTCAGCTGGGACAGAGCTGGACTGATGCTGAGCGGAGCCTGAAGGGCCTGGTGGAAGCTCGCTTAAAGATCGAACACGCTTTTTATGAACTTACTGGGAACCTGGACTCCGTTAGAGCAGTGTGGGGGATCGGGCAGGTGCTCTGACTGCTGGATGGACAGGGCTCCCTAAAGATCAACTTCTAAACTGGGTTTATCAGTTTTCCTGGTTTTATTAGTGGAAAACAAGTTTCAGTCATTAACGCTGATTGTTGATTTGTAATGAAAAATAAATAATTTAAAAGTCAAAATCTCTCTCTCTCTCTCTCTCTCTCTCTCTCTCTCTCTCTCTCTCTCTCTCTCTCTCTCTCTCTCTCTCTCTGTCACCCATCATCACTGAAGTGTAAGACAGTGGGGTGAGTCACAGCTCACACGTTCATCTGTGTGTGTGTGTGTGTGTGTGTGTGTGTGTGTGTGTGTGTGTGTGTGTGTGTGTGTGTGTGAACACATATGATCAGTATTTTGGTGGCTCTTCTTCAGGAAATAATCTGTTTTTATCTGATCTCAGAGCTGTTGATGTGCCAGTGGGATGAAGCTGTCTTTCTCCTCCTCCTGCTCCTCCTCTGTGGAAGTGCTCGCTGCAAGCCCTCTCATCTTTTTCCTATTAGTGCTGTTTTCATCCGCTCTCCCAGCGTGAGCGATCCGTGTGTGAGACTGCAGTTGTTTATGAAACTGAATTTGCCTCATCCTGTGTGTGTGTGTGTGTGTGTGTGTGTGTGTGTGTGTGTTCATTATGCAACAAACCATAATCTTCTAACGTTTATATATTAAAGTTGATCTATTTGAGCATAAAGTTTGTGTAAAAACAGACCAGATCAGGGTGATCGCTGCTTTGGGAAATAAAAACGTGTTTTTTTTTAACCTGATCAGCAGAAACGGCCTGAAGAAACGAGCAAAGTCGTGTGATTTTTGTAAGATGTGAAACATTTAGAGGATTTTACACATTTGTCCTAATTAAAGAGACTCATCAGAGACCTTGGATCTGAAAATAATCTCACCCCCATTGTTAACAACAGGTCACCTCTTCTCTTCTGGTCATGAGTCAGGCCTCAGAGGGTTTGTGTTTCCCTTTAATGACAGATGAAAGTAGAAGTGTGGTTAAAAAAGATTTAACAAAGTACTTTATTTGTGATTAAAAAATTTAAGCAAAACAGATGTTGATCAGTAATAATCAAGTGAATGATCTGTGGAATAAAGATGTCATGATTTATGTGTTTAATGAAAACAGGACTACTGCACAGACCCTCATCTCCATAGAAACGCATGACACATTGTTCCAACCAATCAGAGCTTTCGGCTGCCGCAGGAGAATCTGGCTTGTTGACTTAAAGTGTCCAATCCGCTTTACTAAAACTTATCAACAATTCAGAGATATAAAACAAGGCAACGCCATTTTACGCTCAGTTCCATTTTGACTTCAGTTCTATTCACCGTCATCCCAAAGAGAAGCACAGCCTGGCCAGATGGGTAGTGTAGTGCTCCGCCAGTTAGGTCTGTAGGGGGTGGTCAGGAGGAGGAGTTCGTGACACAGTGAGAGCTTAGACTATTTAATTCTCACTGAGACTTGGCAGCAAGAAGGAAATGTTGTGCATTTTAATGAAATACCGTAAATCCTCTAATATTAGCCTGTATTTAATTAACTGCCGGGTATCATATTTTGGCCGGTGTCGGAGTCGGCGGAGGTGAATAATGGCCGGTTTTTTATTGTGGCCGGGTGGAATGTGGTAACAAGCAAGTACGGGGGGCGGTTGTGTCATCCGTCTCACTTTTGATTTGCCAGTGATAGACCGCGAGGGTAACTTTAACCGTGCGGAGACGAAGAGGAGGCGAAAATTTGATATCAAGTTCAAAGAGAACGTGCTGATTATGCTGCAGAACACTCTGGGGAGCAGTAGCAGGGGTTGTATGAACTAGTCACTAGTCGACTTCACCACTCTGTAGTGACTTTTTATGCCTGTCATCGACTAGTCGCTGTCACGTGATAATGACCGGCAAGATGCAACCCTCGGAAAAGACAGCAGCCTGCTGTCAGCAGGTGACAAGCTCCTGCGTGCTGTGCCAGAGCGTCGGTACTGACACCCGCCGTAAAACGGACATTTAACCAAATTGTGACGTTTACCCTCTTGCAATTTAACATTCCCCTTACCTCCATCCTAACCTTAACCAGCTGGTGCATGCAAAGCTCTGATTGTTGACGCGCTCCAGACATCTGCGTCCTGAGCACGGCCACAATAACAGTATCAAATCAGGTGTCGCCACCTCAAAAATTAATTTAACACGTGATCGTTCATGTCGGCTCATTTCCTTTTATGTTTTCTGTCTTTTATTTGTGCCTGATGCTTTTCGCTGCTGTGGATCGGGGCGCATCACCTGTTTTGTCCTCGGTGACGTACCTAACTGATGTGGCCGGCGAGTGCTCCGCTGTTTTTGCGGTCGGTAGATCTTTTAGAACTGCAGTTCAAAAGTAACTCATAAGGTGAATATATATGAACCCAGGTAGCAGTTTCTCTTTAGGATTGAGAGGAGATGCAGGAAGATAATAAACAGGCAGGACAGAAAAATAGTCAAATAAAAACAAGTTAGTTTTTGTACCTGGTGGTCGCAACAAACAGACACCATTGAAGGTAATCAGAAGTGAGGAACAGAAAATGAAATAATTATTTTAATGTTTAGAGCAGCAGGAACTCCGAGAGGCTGCAGGCGCATCAGTGAGTTTGCGGCCGCTGCGCAGGGGGAGGGGGGAGAGGGCTGTTAAAAGAAATGTGTTTAACTTTGAAAATGTGGGCGCAATTTTAATTGTCAAAAACTCCAGCAAACCATTAGTTCATTTTGCTCAAATAGAAATTGAGGCCTGCCTCTAATTCTGGTCCTCCTTCCAATAAAGGCCTGGAGATTGATGAGCTTGAGTCAAATACAGGCCCGGGCCTGTATTAGAGGATTTACCTTATGTATATCACACAGTGGTGAAATTACATCTCTACATTTGACCCATCCCCATGAGAGGGAGCAGTGAGCTGAATTGAATTGAATAACTTTTATTTGATGTAGATTATATTGTAATAATAATAAAGTAAATGTACCCAATTATAGCCACAAGGCTAATTTCCATTGGTAGTCCCCCTGGTAGTCCATTGGCACATAGTTTAAAACAACGTTTAAAGCTATAAACATTTTAAAAACAATATAAGTAAAACAACATTACATAGAGTACCCCCCCCCCACCCCACACAAAATCAATCATATTCACTCTAACAATAACACTCATACATTTGTTCTTAAAACTAGTGCTGAAAAATTTGAGTGTCAACCGTTTCTTTAATTGTATTTTAAATGCGCTGTACGTGACAGAGTCTCTTATGTTTTGCGGAATTGTATTCCAGACTCTAAATGCCTCATAGGTGAAAACTGATTGTCCAAAGTAACTTTTCCTGCATGGTATCACACAATCCCCTCTAGCAGCCCCTCGAGTAACACGTGTTACTGTCACGATTTAGAGGGATGGTTAGAACCCAAAATGCAGAACCCAGAATGACACAAGTTGATATATAAAGAAAAATCCTTTAATTTTTTAGGATGAATCCAAACGAACATAAATCCAGAGGGCAGGAAGCCTAAGTCCAAAAATCCAGAAAATGATCAGG